CCATTCGCCTCCTTCGCTTGTGTTATCCCACACTGGGTTGCTAGTGCCCGTCGGACGCAGCAAAAACAGACCAGCTGAGTTTCCAGAAACGGATGAACATTGCTACCAGACGGCATACGAGTATGCTCGTCCCGACAAATGAGTGGCTCAGTTTCTGACGCATGGGATAAACCCACGGAGCTCGTCATGTAACGTTTCGCCCGTCTTGCTTGATCGTGAGTTTTCTCGACACTCTAATCTGACATTTTTTAAAACCACATTGGGACAAAATCATGCTGGATAGCTCACAATAGTTAAACCTGGTCAACAGATAAACCGATGCACGAAATCTGTAAGTTTAAACCGCAACAAGTGCATGTACCCGCGTTTGCGCGATAACAGACCATTTTAGAATAGTGATCACAAAAATTGATACCGATCGATACGGCTGAGACAAGGTAATGGACAATCACAAGAAATGGAATAAACTAGCACACGCATTTTATTAAAGTAATTCAGAATCGCTAATAATACTGAATTGCACTCAGAAACCGAGCTAAAAACGAGTTTACCGGTGTAAAAATTCAACAACTTGGCCTGACGACGACAGGAGCAAAACGCGACCCTGATGACGCCATCCGCAGTCGAATGATGTTGATGATTCAAGATTGTCTATGAGCTTCGGCGTAATGAGCTTCACGGACGGCTGCTGTCCATTCAACATAACTTTTACTCCGTATAGCCGTGGGTGTCACACGTGAACGATGGATCTCTGGGCTAAGACAAAAGCATTATGCCATGCGGCTGTACCATCCCAGAAGTATCTATTGCATTAAACAATGTACATGTTCCCATACAGTTATCCACGCGTGATCTTAGAATCAGATACTCATGCACCTGCAATTTATCCGCACAGGTCCAATACCAAGTAGCACGTGCCAGACCATTTGTGTTCACTAGATCCAACAAAATCCAGACAACTCGTGCTAGGGTTGAGCTTGATTTACTACACACCAGTCCCATCCTCGAGTACTGCAGCATCATATACGGTAATATGAGAAAGAGTAACAGAATTGCTGTGGAATACCTGCACAGTTCGTTTACTAACTGGTAAGCCCTCTGGCATGAAGTGTCGAGCATGTTGTGACGAGCTTCAACTCGAGTCACTTTGGATCCGACAGTTGAAGCGTAACTTGTCGCTGCTTTTCAGCCTGTAACGCAGACAGACCTATTCCGATCTGTCTACACCCGTAATGCAACAAAGCTCAACCTGAAAAATTTTCAACAAAAATACTACACGGAATATTCCAAAGGTTAGAACAAGCATGCGCTCAAATTTGTTCCTGGTCAGCTACGGCTATCTGTGAAGTAAACTGCCAATCACGCTTAGTAGCAAACTCTAATGGCCTTGATGTAAATACCATAATGGCTATTTTCATCTGGGGAAATTCTCTCCATGGGCTATTTCAAGAGGAGTCTAAAAACCTCACAACGCCAATGTTTCCAAAACTTTGCTTTCGCCTCAACCATCCACCCAAACGCTTCTACATCAATCGCATGCCCCAATATTCCACATATGCATTTCGCCCGTGTAAGGGCATGGTTACTTTTGCACACATTGATCTATGCGGCTACAGACCGTTTCTCTGATCATGAGATATATAATAATAATAATAATAATAATAATAATAATAATAATTTAGTACTGCGTAGTGAATGATATTCAACGCTTGCGGAAATCGCTCGACTGACTTTGGGTAGCCGGAGAGCTCTTCGGAGATATTGCCCAAGGTTGCATAGTTGTGCACGGCGCTGCGGATGTGCGCCCACTGCGTCTGTGCCTGAACACAAGGCACTTTTGAAGCTTAAGGTCAAGGCATCCTGAAAGCCACTCGGAATATTAGTGGCAGAAAGCTTAACCACGTCGAAACGTTTTCGGTGACGCTGTTCAGTACCACCAAAATCTTAGCACAGGCGAGCGCGTGATCTGAAGTGCGATAAGTTTGCTAGATTAATTTGCAATCCTTTCTGAAACTCCGCTGGTCGTAACGGATGACGATGTGATCAATTTCTGCTAACTGTTGGTCAGGTGATGGGGGCCTCAAGATTCGCGTTGGCGCCAGTATCGCCGAAACTTGATACTTGAGTAAAATAAGCAATTTTTGATGCGGAGCTGAACTGGGCGATCACCGTCGTCTGTCCCACGCATACCATGGACATGTTGACCACCGAATTCACTGTCATCAAACCCAAGTCTCAATTAGTACGATTAAGTCTCTGTTAAGCACCGCGATGTACGTCCATTGCTTTTTTTCGTAGGTCGGAGAATTGATAGTAGAACTCAGGGCTGCATGTTGTGGTAGCATACACTGCTACAATGAACAAACAACGTCTGCTGGTCCCGCGTACTGAGATTTCTAATCGAACCGCACAAATCCGGTCGCTAACAAAGACCCAATCGAGTAGCGCTGCCTCAACATTTGTGCTGAAGGCAATCCCCACACGGGAACGATCTGCAGTTGTGTCCCCAGAGGGACACGATGTGAAAATGCCAGCGGAACTCGTAGGCGCTGAAACCAGTTGTTATATCGTGTAGAAAATGGCAATGGTTGTGGTCTCTAGAGTCGGGACAAATGGCTGTCTGTGATTCGATCTACATCATTGAGGATGGCCTACTTGAATTATGACTGGAGCACTAGTAAATGCTTGTCAATGCTATTGGGCGGCGTATCCCCGGACTCTGATGCGTTTGGCGAGAACTCACCCAAGCCGGTATGATGTTATGACACTTGGAAACGAAGGGGATTACCAAGAATGTAGGGATAGAACCAACGTGGAATGAAGTAATAATTGGACAGTGGTGTAATACGGCGCTTTTAGCAGATACGGCCACTTGCACTTCGGCCGAGCTTAACGGTTCCAAAGTACAGAGAGTGAGCAGAGAATCGTTGAAACATCGACCTATAGGTTGTATGGGCATGGTACTTCCTGGTTGCAGCAGACTGATGAAGACTGTTGGATTAGTGGACCTCACCCGTAGCCTTTAGTCTTAAAGGCAGCAGGGAGATTAACATATATCGAGAACCGTTGGGAGCAGGCTGTAACACGGTGTTTGAGTGTGACCGAACTTCTCAGGATGCTCAAGGTGACCTAGTATCTTAACACTGAGGTCAGGAGAAATTTCCTGGACAACCAACCTTGCTGTCAGGCACGAGCGTCGTTGGCTCAATCACCTTCATTGTGCTCAGTCCATGTAGAAGCCGGCGGATATTGAGACTTCATCAGCCCTCTTTTTACTCACTTGCTTGTATAAGTGAATTTCCAGCGACCCTATAGCCGGTCACATTGGTTCTGACAGCCCTGTAGAGCTCTTGTGGTATTTAATGTGGAACCAGGTAATCTGCCCTGAAACGCCTACGCTTTGAGATGCTACCGCCGATTGTCCACAATCTCGCCTGCGAACGGACGATACTTATTCACAGTTACTTCCACCAAAATGCTTTTCTCGATCCGTAACCTGGAGATGCACCCTTTTACGCGCAACTCCACCTAACCAACCACTGATCGGTTCACTTGCGACAGCTGGCCGGTGACCGAAAAGATAAAGCGTCTGCATCCTAGTACAGACGGTGACCTTGCGGTATACTCAGCTCACTCGCGACTGGTGCCATTCATATAGCATCAAAGTCCTGGTACGGTGTGCCGTCTGATACCTTTTTCAAGCCTGTCCGGGTTTTCTTCAACATACTTGTATCAGGATGCTCCTGTTTTTGCAAAGCTTTGTTCTCTGTTTGGCTCACTGATTTTCGGAAAGACTACGGTGACTTAAGAAACTTCAGGTAGTCACAAATGTCCGCTTTCAACCAGTCTAGACTGAAAGGATGTCGTGGACAATAATTTTTAACAGCTCTGGTAGGATGCGACGGCTGACTTTAGGTAATTTTAGTCTTAACCTGCCTCATCAGTGTAACGTTCTTGGCACAAAGCGGTTTCGGATTCATAACCGAACTAGTGCTTAACAACGGAATGATCGAGATAACCAACATGTACCCAGTTACCGCACTTGAGGTAACCTATGTTATGCGTCATGTCTACATTTGGAGTGAGTGACTTAACACATATCGCCACGTGAGGTGGATATCGGTGAGGTGCCTATCCGTTTGATGCCATCATTAGAATTATCAGCCTCAGGAGCTTGCTGATCGTTGTTAGGGGAGACAAGTTATCCATTCTTCTTGGCGACCCCAGCATCAAAATGCGGTTCCATTAGTGTGTGAGCTACGCTCCAGACACTGTCCCTTGTCCACCCGGAACCATCTTTCCCCAAATTATACACCTGTGATGTGTGTGTCGAAGCTGACTCCGAACCAATCGTAGCTCCCATTCATGTGCCCTAGGCCTTATCCCTTCGGGTTTACACTGGCGTATGGATGGAGCTGTAGAGAGCGCAGCGCAATTACTCGTCACATTGCTGTAGGTGCACAATTTATATGACTGCTCCCTTTCGCGTTTGCGGATGCATCCAGAAACAAGCAGCACATGCTACTGCTGCTTCAGTCAAGTGGATGGATCGTATTTAGCACCTGTACATGCAAATCGCCAATGCGTCCTAGTTATGTCGGTAAGAGTGACGTGGATACCCCAGGATGTTCAGGTACGAGCGCCAGAGAACGATGCAGCAAGCACCTTTCCTGCATCTAAATTGCTGTCGATTAACTTCTCTACAATTTCATTATGTTCGGAAGTCAGTGAGCATTTTTGTTCGTCTCTGTTGGTAGTGACACAAAATATATGTTCCGTACTCGTCTTTGTCTTTCATCTTTTTAAGCTTCATTCGCTTACTGCTGTTTAGGCGGTTAGTAAAATGTGGACGATTAAAATTGATTATTCTCTATGTGGAGTCGGTTAACCCTTGCTTGACTATCGATACATACCCCGCTTTTTCTGTTGGCTTCTTGATACAACATCGGCATTGTCCATCTTTCGCATTGTAACTGCATCTTTGTCTCTTCGTTCCCAAGTGTCCATCACAGGGAGCAACCTCCAATTATCACGCCACGGATCCCTCGACACGTGACTCCTGTCTTCTATCAGATCAAACCATTGGAGCTCGAAGAATGATCGCAGCTGTGGACAACAATCCAACCGCTTCCGCACTGGATATCTCAGCTCACCCACCAGTCTACTATCTGCCAGAGGATAAATACGAGTCCACCACCACCGAAAAACTGGAACGGACCAAGTTCCCAGGGACGGAATTGTATAGCACTCAAAACTTGTGTTCGGCTGTCACCGCTCATTATGAAGAATCAGTACGCACCTTTAAGCCGTCGTCTTGCGACACCTCTAACACCCTCCCGGATGCTGGTGACGTGTCACTTCGCCCCGCCACAACCTTAGATCGGGTTAGTTCACTGCCTTTAAAGGATGGTAATTATCGGCCCAAAATATGCGAAATCGATCGCAAAGAGAGAGATGTAGAAGAAAGAGATAAACCAAACGTTCAATCAGATGCTCTTGGTCCTGTTTGTGCCTCTGATGAAGGATGGGAGATTGAAAGTGTGCCGGACATTCCAGCGGAGGATATGGCCGCGAGTGAAACTGAACTAGACTTCGAGAACCATGTATGCAAAGTTGTTGACTCGTCAGATGAGCGTCACCGTTCTACTGCCGGGTTCCCCTCATTCGAACCATCCACTGGGGATTGCAGAATCGAAGAAGAGCCTGTATCTGGTTGGACGTGGTCCGCTGTTTCTTCCTTCGCCCAACACCTAACTTCTTTTCAAACCAAGGTAAGTGTTGGTGATCTTTCTTATCTAGCTTCCTTGCAAACGTACTTTCCCGATGCGCCTCTGAATTGTTCTCACACCAACCTCTCCGACGCTGCGTGACTCTAGGTAACCTAGTACGGAATACAAGATGCTATCATTTTTCAGTTTCGTCAGTTTCTGTTGCTCTTAAAGAGCGAATAATCTTCGCTCGCAGACAGATATAGGTTTAGTTTCTGTGCTGTGTATGAACTGTGTGTACACCATTTGAAACTGGATTTGGAGAGATCAACACTGAAATCCTTTCACCGTGTGTAGACCATTTCTATCTTTCTTGACATCGAACCCCTTCACTTGTGCGCAAATTAGCTGTACGAACGATTGCTATGGGTGCCGTTTGGGCAAACGCACTCAGGAAAAAGCAGTGGACGATCTTTTTGAGTGAGTCTTATACAGCCAAATGCATCATCCGCTACCTACAACGAATATCTAAGTGGTCATGGTTTGGTTGCACACTAAAACGTGGCCCACGAGTAGATTGTTATCGGCATAATAGCATGTGCTGCTCCAATTATGTTTTGGCCACCTACCTCACGAACGTTGGGACTGGCTACTATGTTCCGGGTCCCCGTGACCTATGCTCGGTTCCTCTGTGTTTGCTTACGCTTTCTGTACGCAGTTTTTTCATGGTAATCGTAAGTGATCTACCGTAGTTGTCGCGGTTTGGATGATGCCATTCGCGCGTTTGATTGCATTTTTCCTAGCATAACCCGAAAATCTACGCTTGCCACTTGTGGTCGCCTTTTATCACAGATGCTGTTGCAGTAGTATGTGACTGAGAGACCGGATATTGCTAACACCATGTATTTGTTTAAAACTAGAGTATTTGGTATTTGTAACCAGTCGCGTGTGTGGTCCCTTGGTACTCCTCGTTCAGATTACAAGAACCAATCTCAATCATCTTTATCATGTTTTTCGCTACAAAATCATTTGCTTACTGTAAGGTTCCACTCGGGCAGTGACTATGGCATAGCTTACCATGTTGGCCACCTTAATCTCTGTTCAGTGTGCTCTTGATCTTGTTATACGATCCAGATAATTCTAGGATTTACCCAATCTACGTTTCCACATGAGCAAGTCGTCTCTCCATTAGTCACACACACTTCGGTCTCTGGTTTAGTTGGTCGCTACTGCTAGGTGATCTCCTATGTTTTACATTGGTATTGCACGCCATAACGGTTCGTTATCGATAGATCCCACTCGGACCTGGTTTCTCTTATGTCATTTTGGTACAATATCCGCTCTGCGATCTGCAACTCATGCTAACGCGGCGGTTAGTTATGCGGTTGCTGCCAGAAGTCGAAGGTGTCTCATCACGTTTTTGCCACGACGCATCAAACGTTAGCATTTGAATCCCAAGAATAAGGTATCGTTTATGGGTGAAGTTGATACCTCTTGGATAACGTTGACGTCAGGTCATATGATGAATCTTTTGATACAACACCATCTCTAAATGCTATGACATCTGTTTCTGCCTGGAACGTTTATGTCGCAGTACCGACACGAAGATCTGTCGCCATTAATAGCAGCACATCGGTAATCCGAACTGATGCTTTGCTTCCGTACAATCAGAATGACACGGGCAATGTAGGATAATAAGATGGGAAGAATGGGGGCCTAGTGTAGGACCTGGACGCTATATTGCACACATTCACGACTACGGCGCCTACGCTTCGTCAAGCGACGCATGGCCACAAACAGCTGGCTATTGTACGAAGGTAAGGCGATATTGGCGAGACAGCTTTCTGGAGGCTAGCGCATTACTGGTGCTGGTTGTGATCCATGTCTTGTCAAGCCTCAAGCTATTAACAAGGCGGATCAGGTGGACCCCATTCCGGAAGGCAACAGTGGCCAACAGCACGCAGTCTACTCGTCAGTGACTCCATTTGCCGACCCAAGATCAACCTTAATCTACTACTAGCCTTGCGAACAAAACTAGGCCCTCCCCGATAAGCGGTGGCCGGGTTATACACAGCAAGTGCACAAGCCAACTCAAGTTATTCCATGCTGTTATTTGTTGCACTAGCCTAATTATCATCGCTTTGCTCTTGCCTGCGCATATAATCCTTTTGTGCATGATAGTGCCATCGGACACAAGCAATGCTCCGCAAGCGTGTCAGATCCACAAATCCAGGTGGCCAAGTCTCACTTCCCTAAACTAAGATGGTCTTCACTGTGGCCTTATAGACTGATAGAATTCTCCTTCTGCTGCTGCTGATGTCGCAGATTCAAGTAGACAGTTCCGGCTTTTGCAATACGTTAGCTAATTTGTTTTCGGCAACTTGCATGCATGAATCATTGCTACGGATTGCGGCAGATTGCCAAGATAGGACTATGTCCCAGCAGAATGTGGGCTAATAAATGGGTACAGGCTACGATAAACCGAACGGAGCCCAACTCTGTTGGTTAATGCATTTGCATATTGTATGAAAATCAAGTAAGGGAGCTCCTTGCCTGTTTTGTTAATAGTGGAAACACTGTTACGAATGACGTATAATTTAATAAACGCGACAGAATACGCAATCTAGGCGTGTAGTCGTTTGACGAAAACATCTTACTTCACAGTGACCAAAAGCCTTAAACATAGTGAATGAAATATACAAACACATGCTTCTTTTGTGCGCAAAGAACACCAGGTTCCATTTCAAGGAGTAGCATGTTGACAGATAGGCAGTTTGGTGATGCGTAACCCACTATACCCGTTTGTCACTCGCCTATTCATGTGCATGCTTTAAGAGAAGACAGAAGTGTCATACAATCAGCGGCTCCATGGTTTTCGGCATCCGGTTTCGGATTTGCCTGTTACTGTGGCCAGCCACAGGACGCCTGCGCCATAGAAGCGTTGTAAACATCTTTCTAATCGCGGATTCCGATGACTGAATCGCGTATGTGGCCAAGATGCTCAACAGTTTGCATCCGAACCTCACTGTAGCGTGTGACATTGGACTGGGTAATAGCTTCCCATATCTAGATGTGCTGATCACACGGCGACCGTATGATCCGATCCAGAAGTCAGTTCACCGGAAAGCAACGCACATTTGTAATTTGAAGTTCTCTCAGGTGCAACAAAGGCTCTCTTGTCTGGACATTGTATTATCGAGTGCCGTGATTTACACTCCATATACACTAAAAACATGGAGATACCTGTCTGCCGTCACGCTGCATTCTAACGGTTATCTGCTGCAGTTTGCAAAACGCTTTAGTGACATACCCATGCGAAACCAGGCACCAACAGCTTGAAGCTAAAGTTTTGCCGCAGGAATCCAACCAAGACAATCGGAGACAGATGCTGCGTCGGTTCACCGGGGTGAACACATGAAAATCCAGTCCACGGCACGAAAACGATTGAGAGGTTTGCTCGCATTTCGAACTTCAGTGCTCGATAGAGCTTATATACCAACCATTGAGGCTTCAGCCACTTGACTACGAAGAAATGTAGAAGGTGCGACTAACTGCACTACGCTCGAGAGTGCCTTACCCATCGAGCCAGGTGGTGTTTCTGTTTGGGAAATAGTACATTGTATTGCCTCTGGTTGCCACACCGGGACTATTTGAGATGACCAGCTGTGATAGTCCACGGTAATTACCAATCTGAACAGTAATGGACGGCCAGGCTTAACTGTCAACACACAAACCCCGCTTTAGCTCGTACTTAATAGTCCGTCTAGTAACATGGCGCTAGGTACAATCACGGAGTTTTTACCTGGAGTCCAACAAGCTCGTCGCTCTCCGATAACCAGTGTCTGGTGCGAGGACCACTGGAAGTTACCAATGGAGAGAGACGTTTGCTATGCCTCCCGGTAAAGTTTGTGGAGTAATCAATGGCGCATCAAGACATGTTCAGAGTTGAAGCACATACTCCAGCACAAGCAACAGTCAAGGATATGAACACGCCATCTTGAACTCATGGCAGTGTGTTCTACTTGGGTCCACTGGATATCGATTACAGGAGGACGCCAAGTGACAATTCGTTGTCAGCTGTACCTGAAAACTGTGCACGTAAGGAACGGCCGATGCGGTGCGCCGTTGCAACAAACACTTACCATTGTCCGTGCTTTCTGATTTAATCGACCATCCAGCTGTGCACCTTAGGTGATCAGACAATCTGCTTGCACATTCACATCCTCTGCAATCGGAACGGTCCCTGAACTCCTCATGAGTAAGGAGCTTTTTAGTGAATTAGTAACCCCATGGAACGGCGGATTAAGTTCGTGCTAGGTGGCCTTAACCATTGCAGGACTATACTGATAAGTACTTGAGCGGTAACGGCAGACAAACAGCGTCTAGTGCCACTCTATGCACTAGTTTTGATTTCCATGTGTAGGGGATTTTTGATGTAATTATTTGATAGTGCGTCACTGCAGCTTCCAAATCACACGGTCCTCAATATGCCCGGAAAAGCAATAAACTGTAGTTTCCAGCTCTTGGGCATCATCAATATTGCGCATCCATCTGACCCATTAGAATTCGAACCCATGACCACCAGCGGCTTGCACCGCCAGCCAACAGCTTATGCCTCTGGGCCAGGAGGAACAGCGTCGGGCCGTCATGATTTACAAGCTAACTGGGATACTGCGCGAAACTGCAGTTTACTGCTTTTCCGTGCATGTGGAAGATTATCCGATTTATAAGCTGCTGCGACAATCTCTCAATTTATTATATCGCAAATCCCCTACTCATGAGTACATCAAAATCTCCGCCCTGACAGTTTCTAAAGGCTGTATCGACGATCAAGGTACTCATTGAGAGCCTTTGTCTCAAAACCTTATCTTAACGTGGTATGAAGATGGATGCTAAACGATTTTCTTTTCCCAACCTGGAAGGCCTGGAGACCGAATTTATCGCACTTCTAACCACTGACCAATCTGGTGTGAGTAGCTCTCAAAGAGCGCAGAAGCACCAGTTATTTCGGCTCAAGGAGCCGAAAAGGTACAAAGGCTGTCGCGATACGTTAATGCCGATTC